GTAGTAGTAGTAGTCGTAGTAGTCGTCGTAGTAGTCGTAGTCGTAGTCGTAGTCGTAGTCGTAGTAGTAGTAGTAGTAGTAGTAGTAGTAGTAGTAGTAGTAGTAGTAGTAGTATCAGTAGTAATTGTACTAGTAGTAGTAGTAGTAGTAGTAGTAGTAGTAGTAGTAGTAGTGGTGTAGTAGTAGGGGTAGTTTCTGTAGTAGTAGTAGGAATCGTTGGGGTAACCGTTGCTGTCTTCGTAGTAGTCGTAGTCGTCGTGGTAGCGGTCGTAGCCGTAGTAGCCGGGGTAATCGGAGTAGTAGTAGAGGTTGTAGTGGTGGTAATAGTGTAGTAATAGTGGTTTTAGTAGTAGCAGTTCTATCAGCAGTAATAGTAGCAGTTGTAGTAGTACTTGTAGTCGTAGTTGTGGTGTGATAGTAGTAGTAGTAATACTACTACTACTACTACTAGTAGTCGTAGCCGTTGTCGTAGCAGTAGTCGTCGTAGTAGTTGTAGTAGAAGTTGTAGTCGTAGTAGTAGTCAACAGTAGAAGTAGTAGTAGTAGTAGTTGTTGTAGTAGTTGTGGTCATAGTAGTCTGAATCGTCGTGTTAGCAGTACGAATAGTAACATTAGTAGTCGTAGTCGTACAAGTGATATATGTAGTAGTAGCAGCAGTAGCAGTTGTAGTGGTAGCAGTAGGACGCGTAGTCGTAGTAGTAGTAGTAGTAGTAGTAGTAGTAGAAGTAGTGGCACTCGTAGTCGCCGTAGTAGTGGTTGTAGTAGTCGTAGCAACAGCTATGGTAGGACTTGTAGTTGTAATTGTACTTGTAGTTTCGCAGTGGCAGTGGTGGTAGTAGTAGTGGCAGCGGTCGTAGCCGTATTAGTAGCAGTCGTAACAATAAAGTCTGTAGTAGCAGTAGTAGTGGTAGTAGTAGTAGTGGTAGTAGTAGTCGTCTTAGTAGTAGTAGAAGTGGTACATCGCATTTGTCGCTTCTGTAGTAGTACTAGTAGTAGTCCGATGAGTATTTCTACGCGCGGCAAGTGTCGTAGCAGTAGAAGCCGTAGTAATAGTAGAAGTAATAGTACGAGTAGTAGAAGTAGCCGCGGTAGCCGTAGCAAACGCAATCGTTGTAGTAGTACTAGTAGCACCAGTAGTAGTAGTAGTAGTAGTAGTAGTAGTAGTAGTAGTACTGGTAGTAGTAGTAGTAGTGGTAATCACAGTAGTAGTAGTAGTAGGAGTAGTAGGGGTAGTAGGAGTAGTAGTAGTAGTAGTAGTAGTAGTGCTAGTATTAGTGGTGGTAGTAGTAGTAGTAGTCGTAGTAGTAGTAGTAGTAGTAGTAGTAATAGTAGTAGTAGTAGTAGTAGTAGTAGTAGTAGTAGTCGTAGAAGCAGTAGTGATAATAGTGGCGGTAGTAGTAGCAGTAGTAGTAGTAGTAGTAGTAGTAGTAGTAGGTAGTAGTAGTAGTCGCCGTAGTAGCAGTGGTCATAGTAGTAGTAGTAGTAGTAGTAGTGATAGTATTAGTGGTGGTAGTAGTAGTAGTAGTCGTAGTAGTAGTAGTAGTAGTAGTAGTAGTAGTAGTAGTGGTAGTAGTGGTAGTAGTGGTAGTAGTAGTAGTAGCAGTATTAGTAGTACTCGCAATGGTGGTTGTAGTCGTGGTGTTTGTAGTAGTAGTAGCCGTAGTAATCGCAGTAGTAGTAGTAGTAGTAGAAATCGCGGTAGTGTTAGCATGTGTAGTATTATTATTACTAGTATTATTATTAGTAGTAGTAGTAGTAGTAGTAGTAGTAGTAGTAGTAGTACTAACAATAGTACTAGTAGTAGTAGTAGTAGTAGTAGTAGTAGTAGTAGTAGTAGTACTAGTGTAGTAGTAGGGGTAGTTTCTGTAGTAGTAGTAGGGATCGTTGGGGTAACCGTTGCTGTCTTCGTAGTAGTCGTAGTAGTCGTGGTAGCGGTAGTAGCCGTAGTAGCCGGTGTAATCGGAGTAGTAGTAGAGGTTGTAGTGGTGGTAGTAGTAATAGTGGAGTAATAATGGTTTTAGTAGTAGCAGTTATATTAGCAGTCACAGTAGCAGTTGTAGTAGTAGTTTTTGTAGTCGTAGTTGTGGTGGGATAGTAGTAGTAGTAGTAGTAGTAGTAGTAGTAGTAGTAGTAGTCGTAGCCGTAGCCGTAGTTGTAGCAGTAGTCGTAGAAATAGTTGTAGTAGAAGTTGTAGCCGTAGTAGTAGTCAACAGTAGAAGTAGTAGTAGTAGTAGTAGTTGTTGTAGTAGTTGTGGTCATAGTAGTCTGAATCGTCGTGTCAGCAGTACGAATCGTAATATTAGTAGTCGTAGTCGTACAAGTGATATAAGTAGTAGCAGCAGTAGCAGTAGTAGTGGTAGCAGTAGGACGCGTAGTCGTAGTAGTAGTGGTAGTAGTAGTGGCACCCGTAGTCGCCGTAGTAGTGGTTGTAGTAGTCGTAGCAACAGCAATAGTAGGACTTGTAGTAGTAATTGTACTTGTAGTTCTCGTAGTTGTAGTGATGGTAGTAGTAGTGGTAGCCGTCGTAGTCGTAGTAGTAGTAGTCGTAACAATAAAAGGGTTGTAGCAGCAGTAGTAGTGGTAGTAGTAGTAGTAGTAGTAGTAGTAGTAGTAGCAGCAGTAGTAGTAGTAGTAGTAGTAGTAGAAGTAGTAGTAGTAGTAGTAGTAGTAGTAGTCGTCTTAGTAGTAGTAGAAGTGGTGCATCGCATGTGTCGCTTTTTGTAGTAGTACTAGTAGTAGTCCGAGGAGTATTTCTACGCGCGGCAAGTGTCGTAGCAGTAAAAGCCGTAGTAATAGTAGAAGTAATAGTAGGAGTAGTAGAAGTAGCCGCAGTAGCCGTAGCAAACGCAATCGTAGTAGTAGTAATAGTAGTAACAGTAGTACTAGTAGTAGTAGTAGTAGTAGTAGTAGTAGTAGTGGTAGTAGTAGTAGTAGTAATAGTAGAAGAAGTAGCCGTAGTAGTGGTAGTAGTAGTAGAAGTCGCCGTAGTAGTGGTCGTAGCTGTAGTAGTAGAAGAAGACGTCGTGGTTGCAGTCGTAGTTGTAGTAGTACACGTAGTAGTAGTAGTAGTAGTGGTAGTAGTAGTACGAGTAGCAGTAGTGGTAGTAGCAGTCGTAGTTGTGGTTTTAGTAGTACTGTTAGTAGTAGTAGTAGTCGTAGTAATAGTAGTAGTAGTAGTAGTAGTAGTAGTAGTAGTAGTAGTATCAGTATCAGTATCAGTATCAGTATCAGTAGTAGTAGTAACAGCCGTAGTAGTAGTAGGTGTAGCAGTAGTAATAGCAGTAGTACTCGTGGACGTAGTAGTCGTAGTATAGCCGTGGTAGTAGTAGTAGTAGTAGTAGTAGTACTTAGTAATAGTCGTCGTAGTAGTAGTAGTAGTCGTCGTAGTAGTAGTAATAATCTTAGCTGTAGTCGTAGTAGTAGTAGTATTATTATTATTAGTAGTAGTAGTAGTAGTAGTAGTAGTCGTAGTAGTAGTAGTAGTAGCAGTAATATTCGTAGCAGTAATAGTAGTCGTAGTAGTAGTCGTAGTAATCGTAGTAGTCGAAGTCATAGTAGTAGTGGTAATGCTGGTGGTAGTAGTCGTATCTGATGTTGGGGAAGTAGAAGTAGTAGTCGTAGTAGCAGTAGTCGTAGCAATAGCAATCGCAAAACTAGTAGAAGTAGTAGAAGTAGTAGAAGTAGTAGTTGTAGTAGTCGTAGTAGTAGTAGTTGTAGTAGTAGTAGTAGTAGCAATCGTAGCCGTAGTCGGAGTATTAGTAGTAGTAGCAGTCGTAGTAGTAGTAGTAGTCGTAGTAGTAGTAGTAGTAGTAGTAGTAGTCGTCGTCGTAGTTGCAGTAGTCGTAGTAGTAGTAGTAGTAGTAGTAGTAGTAGTAGTAGTAGTAACAGTAGTGGTAGGCGTAGTCGTAATAGGCGTTGTACTTGTAGTAGTCTGGGTCCATCGAGGGGAAATTCTGTTTAATTGCGTAATGGCCGTAGTCGCCGTAGTCGTAGACGTAGTCGTGGTGGGGTTCTTTAGCAACGTAGTAGTTATTGTCATGGTGCATTGGTTCGGTTACTGGGAATTGCAAACATACTTGTGAATAGGACAGCCGTTTCTTTGCTGTCGATGCGCTAAGCTAGAATGTGCAAGCTGCCAGCCACACTTAGGACGCGTCTGGGTTTGACAGGCGCATGCAAAACAGGCGACACGTCCGCGGCTATATGTGAAACAACACGACGAGAATGACGTAGTGGCGAGTGGCATGCGAGGTGGACCGAAGCTATCGTTTCCACCGTTCTTCCTGTGTCATTCCTTCCGTCTTCCTGTTCATCCACGATTTCGGATGCAGCTCCTTGGAGGTCAAATTCAGCATCGGCGCTGGTACGGATCCTGCTTAATTCCGTTAAATTTCGCTCATCCTTTTCAATTATCTTGAATGCCAGGGCCTGTCTGGGTCCATGCGTGACAACGGTTTCCTAATCCGGTTTTACATCCCTAACTCGTTCTTTCGAAGGCCTCCTAGCAGTTGCCTCCTAACGTAGTCGCAGCCGGCACCGTCTATACATGTACCGTCACGGGCTGTTGAATCACAATTGCGCGATGAATTCGAGCCTGGTGCAGTTTCCAATGATACCTAGTAATCGCCCTCCCTCCGTCGCGGGGTGCCGTCGGGTTCGCCTTGCGTTGCGGCGATTGCCTCGCGGCAAGAACCAGCACCCAAACCAGTTGCCATGGATTCGGCCTCGACTTCGGTGTTTCTCTTCCCCCCTTCCTCCCCCCTCCCTATCATCCTTTTCCTCGTCACCCTCCTCGCCAACCGCCTTTTCTCTGTCTCTCGCCGTTGTCATCGTTCTTGTATTCATCCTCGTGGCCCCTCCTCTGCAACCTATTCATTATCTTTCCCGTCGTTTCCTCTTCATCTTTTCCTCGTTTTTTCTTCTTCTTCTTCTTCTGATAGCGCCACCAACCGCGTCGGGGTGGCTACGTGGCTGTCGCGCACCGCACCTGCCAGTTGTAAGACGAGCGCATCGAGAGCAGCATCGCAGGGGGCGGGCGACGGGCGGTGGTGGCGTCCGAGGTTGCGGGCCATCCCGCCCGCAAAGCCCATCGACGGCAAGTACGCCGCCAGCTGGGCCTCGGCGCCTTCGGAGCCCGTCGCCAGCTGTGTGGACCTGCCCGTCAGACTGAAGGCGGAGCAGGTCCTTCCTTCGACGGCGGCGACGGCGACGGCGACGGCTGCAGCCGCGACGGCAGCAGCGGCGGCAGCAGCGGCGAACGGGCGGCGGCGGCGGCGGCGGCGGAGCAGGTCTTCGACGACAGCATGCCCTTCGTGGCCTTGTCCTGGGAGTCCGCGAACATGGAGACAGGGGGGCGCTAGCGAGAAGGTATCTTCATACCAGCCGTGCCCATGCAAATTTTCGGCCCAGGACTCGTGTACGCCGACGCCTCCTTGGCCCACCCAAATGAAGGTGCACACCGACCCTGGGTCCAGGACGGCCCTGGCAAGAATCGACGTGGATGTGTAGTTGGCATCCTCCCAGGAGTGGCTTCGACAGTTGATGGACGGCGGTGGCGGAGAGGCCCCTGTCAGCAACCCATTCGAGGCGCTGCCTGGGCTGCTGCCAGTCAAGGCACAGGTACGCTGGCGTCTGATGCGTAAGCTCCGGTCGTAGGGCAACAGACAAAATACACACCGATATCGCTATAATCCCCGGACCTTTCCCGGGGTGCTCTGTGATCGGGATTTCGAGGCGAGTCCGGCTGGCGACGAGGGAGCAGGCGTGCCCAGGACCGGGACACAGCGCGTCAGAGCGTTTTGGATCGATTTCGGAGCACTCTGGAGCGCCTTGGAAAGGCCGTGGCGCCCGATGCATCCTCCAGAGCCGCGGGATCTCAGAGAGAACGCGATCTGATATGGTCCGATGTTGTGCCTATTCTGGCTTGGTTTTAGGTTTGGCATCGGTCTGATGTGCGCATGTCTCTCTGCGAGGCCAGCGCCAGAAAATCTGAGTCACAGAGCAGCTTAGATCATCTGGAGGAAACACACACACACACACACACACCCACACCCACCCACCCACGCACGCACGCACGCACGCACGCACGCACGCACGCACGCACGCACGCACGCACGCACGCACGCACGCACGCACGCACGCACGCACGCACGCACGCACGCACGCACGCACGCACGCACGCACGCACGCACGCACGCACGCACGCACGCACGCACGCACGCACGCACGCACGCACGCACGCACGCACGCACGCACGCACGCACGCACGCACGCACGCACGCACGCACGCACGCACGCACGCACGCACGCACGCACGCACGCACGCACGCACGCACGCACGCACGCACGCACGCACGCACGCACGCACGCACGC